AGAGAGAAAAAGAGAGAGAGAGAGAGAGAGAGAGAGAGAGAGAGAGAGAGAGAGAGAGAGAGAGAGAGAGAGGTGACGGTGGGAAAACGGAAGAAATCGGGACGAGAGGGGCGAGCTTCTGGTGGGGTCGATAGTTGGCCGAGTTGCTGAGAGAGCCGGTTGTGTAACAAAGGAGCGAACCGAGTAGCGAGAATTCCCGGGGTGCACTTGATTGTCGGCTTCCCCATACGAGATGATAACTCCTCGTTCCTCATCATAATCGATTACCCCACGTCGCATTATGATCGAACTGTAAAAGCGATAACTGCTTATGGGCGTCATCGCGCAAAATCGACTCGCACGATCCTAACGTAACACTTCGAATCGGGAGACGTCATCGCCGTCGCGCTTTTACGGCGAGTAAAAGTAAGCAGATTTTCCAGTTGTCGTGTACGGAGCATGTTAGCGTATTATAATAACGTTTCGCAATATCCTCACCGCGATTGCGAGCGCGACTCGACTCGGCGTTTACGTTATTTGCGTCACGTTGTCGCTCCGCGACTGGAAGTGAACGACGCGTGCTAAATACGGGAATTATCGAATACGATTTCATCTCGACAACGAGGACAACGTCGATCGAGCGACTGTGGCAATTTTCTTTATAAAACTTCCGTCCCTACCCAACGCTTTCGTGAGCGCTGATACGTCGTCGCGTGCTAATAAGCGCGTTAAAGCGTCGACGTGAGAGACACGAAGTTTTCAGGCACTGTCAAAATAGTACCGCGCGCCCGTCTCCACGTTCTTCATGAAGTGCGCCGGTGCGATTCGACCAGCCGGCTGCACTTGACTTTTCTAGGTGTGTAAGATAAACAGATGCTGCTGGTTCCTATTAATAGCGGCCCATTTACGCGGTTCCGCGGCTTGCGCTTCGACGTGCACCGAGTGTGCTCGCACTGTGTCAAGAATTTTCCGTGCCGTAAATCGACCGTAATTGTGCAGCACGCGAGCGCTGCTTGAAGTAGGCGAGACGAAAATTCGGTGAACTTCAACTGGGAGACACAGCCTCGACATTTCAATTATGTATCGAGTAATAGTTTAAATATTCCCATCTACTCAGACAGATTTTCATGATTGCCGCGACGCACAGTGGTTCAATTAATCTCTTGGCGCAAAAGAATAAAATTTTGAATTCTTTATTTAAAATACCTATATAAAGTTCACTATTTATATGATATATTGCTATAATATAAACACGCTTGTTCTAGTGGCTGTTCACGAAGAGGTCTCAACGAATACGAGCGAGCCCGTCCGCAAAAGACCGAGAGGAAAGGGAATCACATAAAAATACGATGTAAGGAGCATCGACCTTTCGGCACGTGTCTCACGCCATGTGCCACGCTCTCTATAAAGCGTTAAGAACTTATCTACTCTTGTAGGTCTATCGGCGATTTGGCGCCGTTAAAAATCCCCACAGTATCGCGCGCGTTGTCGTCTCTCGAAATGAACCGGGGCTACTCGCTCTGCTTTCCTTCTCTTTTGTTTTTCCTTTTTCCTCCTCCTCCTATGGAGGCTGCACTTTCCGTTTAATCGAGAAGCCAGCAATAACAGTCGCGTCCCGCGGCTTGTCATTGCCGCCATTAATCATTCCACGCGCCTGACAGCTCGTATCCTACCGCCCCACGTTTCGTTTTCCCTTGCTCTATCGATGTGTGCGAAGACGAGGACGCGATGACTGTGACGAGGCTGGAGTATTGATCAAACAGTATTCTAGCTTCTCTATATCGCGTCACGGCACAACACAATGCACCGGAGGGAGAAGATAGACGACGGAAGATTCAAGGGGTGTTACGTGTCTAATAAAGGCGGATGAATGGAATCACAGGTGAAATGAGTGCTTTCTCTCTCTCTCTCTTCCTAAATCGGTATTTCTCCTTTGTCTACGATATTTATGTGTCTGGCAGTTGACCCGAGCTAGACACTATCGAAACTCTCTTTTAATTAAAACTTTAAACTAATATCGTTAAACAATGCTAGTATTGTATATGTTAACTCTGGCAGCTACTTGTATATAGATAGCGTAAGCTTATATATCTTCCAAACGTATTCTTTCTCTCTCTCTCTCTCTTTCTTTAAAAATTTTATTAAAATTTAAACTTTATTTATTTATTTTTTCAAACAAGGATGTAAACCCAGGTTAATCGACGTAGAAACATGCATTCAGCTTGATTTAAAATGTGCTCTTTATTTTCTGTTTCTTGTTCTCTGTATTTTTCTGTCTTGAGATTTAAGATTTAAGGTTCTAAGATCTAAGATTTAAGATTCAGGAGAAGATAAAGAGAAAGAAACAGGAAACAAAGAACACATGAAAATGAAGCTTTAAATGAGAAAAAGATAGAGAATAACAAGCAAAGAGCACATTATAGATTAGGTTGTAGAAGTTAACGGTCAGAGTTACAAAGAAATTTAAAAAAGAAATTTAGAGATTTAATTTTTGATAAATAATTTAATTTCTAAGAAACTTTACTCAAAAAGTAGAATGAACACCGAGTCATTCAAATTCGAGTGACTTTTCAATATAATGCGAATTCTCCACTCTGAATGACGTCGAGTGAATGTTTTCACTCAAAATTGAAGAGTGCATCTGATGTACTTCACTGTCACAGAAGCATATTCGTTCCAACCGATCGAAATATTCGATCGGTTGGAACTATATGAATCGTTCTGATTCATATGGAATCAGAATTCACTTTAAGCTTAAGTGAAACATTCACTTTTTCGAGTGGCAACATTTTCGAGTAAAAATGCTGCCATTTTTCACTGGTTTTTGAGATTCTAGCCTAAGAAATTTAGAGAATAAAAATACGATATATATACCATAAAAAGATGCGACCAGTCTCTTTAGGTTTCCTCACTTCGCAACATTCGCTTGATCTCCACCTCTGTCTCGTTTCCTTCAGCTCTCTCGATACACACACACAACAGTCGTGGCCGAGTGAGACCGCGTAATTAATCAGTCTACACAAGCACGTTTGTAGCCGCTGCATAATGCCGCGTAACGTTATGACGGTGTGGGACGACGCGAGGTAACCGCGGGCGATGTGGCGCGATAGTTTGTCCCTGTCGGCAGCTTTGCTCTAGGAACGCTCTAGATCTCCGGCCAGAGGATAGCAGCAGCAGCAGCAGCAGGAGGATGAGGAGGATGAGTAGGAGGAAGAGGAGGCAGTGGATGTGGAAGAGCGGCAAGAGAGGCAAGGGGTAACGGCGAGGGGATGAGGTCAACGGTGGCGGCTCAATACGAGCTCTGACCCATTTGGCAGCGATCCCGAAACCGGCAGCGAAGCTTCTGCCGTATACGGGCGAGGATTTCATTTTTTGGATTTCCCGCAGGAACAATAGCGACGCGACTTCCACGGGTCAGAGGTGACCTCGGTCAGTGCGACACGCTGATGCGCGAGGTTCTCTCTCTCTTTCTCTCTTAGAAGAAACCTCAGGGAGGACTTTGCGCATTTTCGGTCACATCTTCAAATAGAGGGTACGGTATCGAAATTGTGCTACTGCAGATGGTACGACGGTATTTGTAGGTTACGTTCAGAAAATATAACGTACAACCAATTACGTACATTGTACAATCAATGAATAAAAATTATCTATGATTGACGTACACAGAGAGAACGATTTAGTTGAATCAAATAAACGCTTCTTTGGAATAGTCCAAACGAATTTTTCGATTGATCAAACAAAATTTTGTTTGAAGCAACAAAAATATTTATTTGCGGCTTAGTTCCAAAGCAATATTTTTGTTGTGTCAACCAAATAATTCGTTTGGACTATTCTAAAGAAACATTTATTTGAATACTAAAGTCGAAATTTTAACTTTATTTTCGATCTAAATTTTCTAACACCTGGATATCCTGAAGGATCAGTGTATGTTTAATACACTTGAGAATTGAGATCCTATTTAACGCCTCAGAAACTACAAAAAATACTGCTTATAGGTTCTGAAGAGAACCTCTTGACAAAGCTAGTAGGTTAAATAGAACCAAAAAAGGTTGGTATAGACTTCAAAGTAGGTGCTGAGTGGAATATTGAGTAGGATCAAAATGTCGACTCGGACCTACTTTCAGAGACTCACCAATAACGTTCATTTTCCAAGAGTCGACCATTCAATCGTTATATTCGCTGAACACAGTTCATAGTCGGATCTTTTATGCAAGATCGTCGAGTTCATCTTCAAATGCTCCGCAGTTAACAAAGCGGTTTGCATAGCATCTGAAGTTGAATTTAAAACGTCTTGAAACACAAGATCCGACCATAATCACACCATCCACACTCGTCAGTCTCATCATTACGTTTTACTCGAGCGTCATTGTTCTTTGCAACTGCTATGAAAAGAAGAAGTCAAGCGCCGATAGATCGGTACTGTCGCGGCGGTCGTTAGCTCACAATGTCTTTCTCAGAGAGAAGTTAACGACATTTTTTTCTCGCCAAGAGTTCCTCGAGGAATGGTCCGTTCCTACGCGCGTTCTACGCCCGCAATGCGCCCCAGTGCGCGGCGGAGGCTTCATTAACCCATTGACTCCGTTAATAGCGCGAGAGTTATCATCGTAAGCGGCGTCTAGATGTTCCCTTTTTGCTCTAGCTTTCTCTCTCTCTCTTTCTCTCTCTCTCCCCCTTGCTCTCGCGCGCGCGCTATCTTCCGCCAAAACTAGACCACGCGTATCTTTCGGTAAATGTGTCAACCGCCCAGGCGCGGGATCAATACTTGCGCCCTGGTTTTGCCTCTCCCTCCCCTTCTCTCCCCTGCCCTCCCCCCGACACCTACCCTCACCCACACACAATCCACGGATCCGCCGCCCCTCGTTCCGCAAACCGTGTCATCCCCTTGCCGCCGCCTCCTCATCCCACCCTCTCTCTCCTCTCTTATCAAGCGGCTTGTTTTAGAGCAGTTGCTCTTATCTTTTTGTCTGGCGTTTGTCGTTAACCGCGTTTGCCGTCGTCTGAACGTTCGCGAGCGAGACTCTCTCATTGCACGCTCGGTGCCTGCGGTAAAATAGAAACACAGGAGAGCGGAGAGGGCGAGGGCGAGGGGGTGAGGAGAGGGTGGTTTAAATCGATGCTCGCTGAGACGACAACGATCCAGGGATGTGTGTGCACGACGAGGAAAGACGCGGGCATGGTGCGCGGCACGTGGCGCGTCGTATATCCTGCCGTACACACACGCGGATATAAAGAGTACTTTACGTAATAGACACGCTCGCGACTCGCTCCGAGTCTGCCATTTGGTGTGCGATTCGCATGCCGCTGTGGACGTTTTCCAGGAAAACGCCGTGGGTCAATTGCAGGTGCGCGCAATCGGCGCGATCTACGCAATTCACGTGCCCCGCCGCCGGCGTTTTCCTAATTTGTCTCGCGAGCGAGGTGAAATCGCCGCTGCGCCTTCTAATTTGTATGCAAACCGAACGAACGGCCATCGCGCCGGGGACATGCCCGAATGTCGCGAGACAAACGGCATAAATTCGCGGGAAGACGCTCGCATGCTCACGTTTCGCAATGTCATCGTCGTCATTTCGCAAGAGGCGAGGCGAGGCGAGCGCGTGAGTTTTCACTTTTCAGCGCCGTCGTGATTTAAAGGCCGCTTGCATCAATGCGTCGATGAACGCGGCGGTCTCTCGGGTCAGCCGAGTGAGTTTTCCGTCGTTGTCTGTGTGTCGTGAGATGTTACAAGCGCGTATTTTAACCGACTCCGTGTGCGGGGTATACCAATATTGGCTTGCGGCGACTAGCGCGCAAGAGAAAGGAGTCGACGAATGAAACGAAGTCCACGGGGACTGAAACGGGCGTAATTGAGAGAAGTGGATCTTCAATAGTCGGGTCGGGTCGATGAGGAAAGCCTGACCCAATGACCTGAAAGCGCGCATGGCGGATAGTTTACCGAGCGTGCAACAACGCCCGGGATCGATGTAGGCGCGCTAGAAATCTGGCCGGAATTGAATTTCTTCCACGTGCGTCGTGGCTGACTTCCCCTTCATCGGCTTCGCCTGTTTGTCGCCGGAAGTGGTAAGCGATTGCCGGCACGGCGATAACTGTGCTGTGTCACAGCCGCGACGGCACCTCGTGTACTTTACAATCGTCGTCGTCGTTGTCATCGTCGCCGTCGTCGTTGCGAGAATCATCACGGTAAAAGCGGGACGAAGAAGAAGGAAACAGAAGAGAAAGGCGTCATCGATTGATTCAACGAGCAAATCGATTGCAATCGCGGGACCTCGTCTGCGAAAAAGAATCGATCGTTCGTTTCACGTAGCTTACCGTATAGAAAATTTCGTGGGATCTAATTGGGATCCTGTCTGTTTCCCTAAAATGAGTTCTTGTATTGGAATTGTAATGTTTCAAACATGCGATTCTAATTAGGAAAGTTTTCCCAATATTTTCTCAGTTACATTAGAATTAAACAAATGTATATTGACTTCCTAAATAATTTCATTATTCAGTGAGATATTTAGTATTTTGAAAATATCTTATTTTTTATTTATCATACCATTTAATACGATAGTTTAGGATTAAAGTGTGATTCCCTTTTGTGGTATTATAAAAGCATATCGACCGATTGAAGAAAGAGTGCCAATTTCCATAGTATTTCTGTTTCGATTTTAGATAGAGAACTATCTAAGGTTATGTTTAAGGTAAGAATGGGATCGCCATTATTATCGTCACGGAATAACCAATTCTGGGACATATTTTGGGAATTCCAGTTGGAATCTACGTTGTATTCGGAAAAATTTTGAGAAATATCTTTGTGGGCTGATATCCTATTCTGGACACATATGGAACGCTAAATATGTCTTTCTGATTCTCGAGCTGAAGCTCGAGTTATAAGGTAAATGTTCCAATGCCCGGACATGTACCTAATTCCGGACACTCTTATTATTTTGAATATTTCTCTAAATATTTCATCTTTCAACGTACACTAAATATAAATATTAAATGTATGTATACCAATATGTATGTATTGTATGTTGAAAGTTGAAATATTCATATTCAAATATAAAAACAATAACAATGTCCGGAGATTGGTACATGTCCGGGCATTGGTACATTTGCCTTACATGAAGTTATACATAACGCCCGTACAAGAGAAACAGAGCTTGGAATTGAAAGGACGCACTTAAGTTAACTGTGTGTCCAGAATCGGACCTCCGGTCGCTCACTCGACCAGTCAGTCAGTCGGTCGGTCGGTTGGCCGGGTTTTTCCTCCGGCACCTCGTCCATTTGCAGCGGCGTTGGTGCTTTGCACGCGCGGTACCGTATGTTTACCCGCTGGTTTTACAAGTTGACAACTCCAGCGGTACTCACACGTCCCGCTCGTCCACTTTTACCGGCGAGCGAGCGGAAGAACCCCGAAACGGGGTCGACGACCTAAACAGTGCATGACTTTCGATCTTACTTCGTTCAATCAAACCCACGATCTCAAAGGCCGGATCGTTTTTCCGTTTATCGCGACGCCCGAAATGAATACAATCCGTCCGTTCGTTTGTCTCAGCTGGCTGGCGTGGCATGACGATTTCGAGAGATTGAAATACGACTGTTGCGTTCAGATTGTATGTAAATATTTTATGAATGTAGCCGATGATAATTCGATGGGGCACAGAGGTAGGCGCGCGAGCGCGTGGAGAGATTTATTTGCTTATTCACTTAGAAAAAAATATCATGGACGCGTCGGCATGGTTAATGGAGTCATTTGATTCTCGCACAAGAATCGTGCGTTTATAAGAGTCTCTTTCTAGGTGAAGATAAATCACGCGTTAGACTCCAACACACTTCAAGAAAGAGCGGCTATGAATAGACCCCAACTGTAGATAAGAGACACGATCGGGACGTCGTGATATTGTCTCGCGTGTCAATAATTAATTATACGTGGAAAGTTCACGGCGCAGTAAAAATATCGATATCGCATCACTCACGCGGAGCGGTACTGCTTGCACGGCGAGATCTTTCATTATGATTTCAATCGCGATGTTATCGTGTCATTAAGGATATAACGACGTTCCGACGTGGCGCTGATGCCTGACGGAAATCTACGGATCGTCGGAGCGAGTTGGCGATTCCGCGAATTAATTTTGCGTGTCGTCGTTCGCGCTTAACGCGTACGTGAGACTTTTAGCCTTGAATTGGTATGACTGATTCGCTGACTAATGGGAAATTTGGCTGACCGCGCGTTCGTTCTGTCGCACACGTAACTTACTTACGGGTCGATTTTTAACGGGTCTGAGAGGACCGGTTTTAAAACATCCAATTATTGACATTCACTTCATATATAGTCATTGGCACTCGAAAAAAACCTGGGTTTTCTTATATCCATACATAGACAAATGCAGACTGCATTTAAATAAATGTTACTTGTCTCAAATAATTACTTATTTTATAAGTTTATATCCTATCATAGATCCATCAGATTTGTTATTAATAGATAATTTATTATTAATGGTCAAATTTATTCAAAATACATCTTAAATTTTAGAAAGTTTAGCACTTCAATAAAGAATATTAAATT